AGGTCGAATGAATCATCAGAAACACATAGGAGGCACTCAAGCATATGATAACAGGATTGGAATCACAGCCTGGCGAACTTCCTCCTGTGTCAACAGATAACTCCCTGTACAGCAATAGATCACAGCCTAGTGGAGCTGAGTCGGGGCTGCTGGCTCACCATGAAGCTCAACCAATTTCACCCAGACAGAGTAGCAGCAGAGACGGCTCATCCAACACCCCCACCCCCCCGGAACTTACAGCCAGGTGAATTGGTCTGGGCCAGGAAGTATGGGTGTTCCTTAGGTGGCAGCTAGGGTAACTAAGGTAATGGGCCCCTTTTCATACGAGGTTATTCTGGGAAATGACCATACAATCAGATGCAACACTGATCAGTTACGGTGTCAGTTGGCTGGGCCAGTCCCGGGTGAGGGTCCCGAGGCATTATCAGACCCATTAGGGAACTGTTTTCCTCCATGTTTGCCTACACCACTCATGGATGCCTCCAGAGAAACAGAGGTACTGAGGGCAGTAGAGCTGCTACCACTCATAGGCGACTAAAATGGCCATCAAGACTCTATCCAATTGGAGATGGACAATACTCCAGTTAAGCAGGACTCTCCAGTAACATTACGGTGGTCCACCAGGATCCGTGGGCCCCCAGCCTATCTCAAAGACTGTGCATATTGAAGAGACTGAGGGTAAGAACTATCTTGGGGGGGGGAGGGGTGTTATGTATTGAATGTATATAGTTGTGTTAAGCCCTGCTAAAGTGAAACTAACCTTTAGATGACCCCGACTGTTAACGCCACCTGTTTTGGAGGCAAACTTAGAACATCCATAATTGGGGTGGGCTTTTTCAAGAATTAAGATTGGTTAAGGCCCTGTGGGCATAGAGTATAAATTACAGGTATTTGTTCCTCAGTTCTAGTTTTGAGTCAATAAATGTTGTAGCTATGCTGGTCTGCTTCTTGCCTACTGAAGCCCACTACACAATATGGGCATCTACCATTCATTTTATGATGCCTGCTGAATAGAGTAGTAAAAACTTGACAGGAATTTTAGTTTTTTTATCACTTGTTTCCTGGCCCCACTCCCTATTCCCTCCTAAAAGTCATTAACCCTGATCACTTTTGCATGTTTCCCTGCCACTTGCCAGTGGGGAAATTATGGTCTGGTTATTGTTTTTTGGTTTTTTTGCTAACCTTTTCCTTTAACTCAGTTAACTTTGTATGATTCTGAAGTCAGAAGTGATGTTGGTCTTTATTGGGGCTGTACAATACAAATCAGTCAGCCAAAGTTTAGCCTGTTCTTTTCTACTAACTTCCAGCATGTTAGATCAGTGTGTTGAGCAAACCCATAAATTTTCTTTAACCGAATAAACCACAGTTATACCGACATAGTTAAACCTTAAAACCTAGCCACTAATGGAGAAACAATTACACACCCACATTTTATAGAAGTTATTATCCCTTTGTTCTTCGAAACAATAGTTTAAACAGACAACATATTATGACACAATTTACAGCAAATTAAACCAACGGTTAGTATGTTTAATCATACAGAGGGATGACGTCAAAAATCAAAATGGGCATGTTCTCTTCATTCCTCAATCTCCTGAAACTTCTCCATAAAGAAAGTGACAGGACAATTAGGGTACACTTTATTATAGTGCTAAAGTTGAATCAATTGATTTATAAGCCCTCTAAAGTTGTTCAAACCTTCCGTCTGTTTGCAAATTTGTCGTTGTCTTGAATGAGACCAATCACTGTTGTATCATTTGCAAATGTCAGTAACAGTAAACAGAGGGATGTTTTGAGATGCAGTCATTGGTGTATAGAGAGAAGTGAAGTGGAGAGAGCACACGGGGGTGTTCCTATGCTAATTGTGCTGGTATCTGATGTGATTTTGCCTAGCTTCACCTGCTGCTTCCTGTCTGTTAGGAAGCTTATGATCCACTTACAAGGGTGGTCAGGTACAGCTAGCTGATTTAGTTTAGTTAAAAGAATATCTGGAATGATGGTATTGAATGCTGAACTGAAGTCTACAAAGAGGACTCTTGCAAAGGCCTTTGGAGATTCAAGATGTTGTAGAATGTAGTGCAGAGTCATATTAACAGCATCATCTGTCAATCTATTTGCTCGCTAGGCAAATTGCAAGAGGTTTAACAGTGGGTCTATGATTGTTCTCAGGTGGCCGAGCACTAGTCATTCAAAGGTTTTCATAACTACAGATGCTAGAGCAACTGGTCTGAAGTCATTTAGTTCCTTGATGGAAGTTTTCTTCGGCCCTGGGATGATAGTAGATAATATTATTGAGGAATAATATCCACTTCCAGATCTAGATACATGAATAGAACAGAACAGAACAGAACAGAACAGAACAGAACAGAACAGAATAGAGCTGGAAGGGACCTTGGAGGTCTTCTAGTCCAGCCCTCTGCTCAAGCAGGAGAACCTATACCATTTTAGTTAAATGACTGTTTAGACTCTTTTTAAAAACCTCAAATGATGGAATACCCATGATTTCTGCAGGCAAGCTGTTCCACTGGTTAATTGTCCTCACTGTTAGGAAGTTTCTCCTTAATTCCAATTCTCTTTGATTAGTTTCCAACCATTGTTTCTTGTCTTGTCCTCTGGTGCTTTGGAAAATAATTTGACCCCCTCTTCTTTGTGGCAGCCCCTCAAATACTGAAATACTGCTACAATGTTACCCCTAATTCTTCTTTTCTTTATACTAGCCTTCTTCATAGCTTTTAGTCTCCAGGCCTTTGATCATCTTAGTTGCTCTTCTCTTTTCCAAAGTCTCAACATCTCTTTTATAGTATGGTGATCAAAATATGTTTCAGTATTCCAGGTGTGGTCTTACTAGGGTTTTGTAAAATGGTACTAATACTCACTTAGCTCGCGCATGCACTTTGCTTCTGTAAATGCGCAGATCGCTGATGATGACATCCGGGGCAGTGGGCGGAGCCTCCCACCAGTTTTACTACCAATTCTTGCGAACCAGTCCGAATTGGAGGCAACCCACCACTGCTCTGTTTATACAGTTTAGGATTGTATTAGCTTTTTTTGGATGCTGCTGCACACTGCTTGCTCATATTTAAGTGATCATCCACTAGGACCCCAAAGACCCTCTCACAATTACTGTTTTTGAACAGGGTCTTGCCTTATCTGTATTTATACCTTTGCTTTTTCCTGCCTAAATGTAAAACTTTGCTTTTCTCAACATTAAAATTCATTTTATTGGATAGGGCCCATTGTTCAAGTTTGTCAAGATCTTTTTGGATCCTGAGCTTGTCTTCTGGGGTGTTGACTAGTCCTGCCAGTTTAGTGTCACCTGCAAATTTGATGAGTCCCCCTTCTATTCCCCAGAAGCACTCTGCAGGCAAAAAATTGTCACATTTTTTGTGAAAATGGGTGCGTGGAGGATTTGGGAGGTCAAAAATGGGCCTGTTTTTGGTGAAAATGGGCCTGTTTTTGGTGAAAACGGGCCATGCGGAGCACTGCAGAATGCTTCTGGGGTCCAGGAAGAGCAAAAATGCGACGTGCAGAGGCCAAAAATTTTTTTTTCTTGTTTTCCTCCTCTAAATCTAGGTGCGACTTATAGTCCGAAAAATAACAAGAAAAAAATCAAGGAAACCATCAGTGCCTGCCATCAAAGATGGGATGGATCTGGCTTCAGTTTTTTGTCTTCCAGGAAGGAGCTGGAAATAAATTGGACTGCAAGATCTAGAATCATGCCCATTGGAAAATGAGGTCGTTGTAGCAGATAATTTTGTGTACTGTGCTTAGATCATACCGCTGGTGGCACAGTTCCAGATTCTCCAAGCCCAAAATTTCAAGTCTGGTGGCATAGGGAATTCTATTGTGAGTAGAGAAGTGGAGTACTCTTCTCGTGATGTACCTTTGGACCCGCTCAATTGTATTAATGTCCAATATACAGTGTGGATTCCAGGCAGATGAGCTGTATTCAAGAATTGGTCTGGCAAAGGTTTTGTATGCCCTAGTTAGCAATACAATGTTTTTGGAGAAGAAGCTATGCAAAATTAGGTTAACAACTCTTAATGCCTTTTTGGCAATGCTGTTACAGTGGGTTCTGGGGCTTAAATTGTTTGAGATGAGTACTCCTAGGTCCTTGACAGAGTGGGGGTTGTCTACGAGGTCATTTCTGTCCAACTTGTATTTGGTGTTCTGATTTTTATTGCCAATGTGTAGGACAGAGCATTTATTAGTAGAGATTTGGAGTTGCCAACTGTGTGACCATTCGGACACATGGTCAAGGTCGCTTTGTAGGGTAGTGGCATTGTCAGTGGTGAAAAATTTTACATCATCTGCGAAGAGGACGCAGCTGCTTTTAATATGATTGCATAGGTTGTTAATGTAAAGCAGAAAGAGTGTGGGTCCTAGAACACCCTTGGGGGACACCGCTGTTACCTGGTGCAGGATTTGATAAGGCCCTCCCTATTTTGACTACTTGTTGCCTGTTTGACAGCAATGCTGCCATCCATTTATGTAGGGATCCAGAAATGCCGTAAGAACTTAGTTTTAACAGTAGTTTGTCATGCACCACTGAATCAAAGGCTTTGCATAAGTCTATGTAAATTGCATCTATTGCGTTTCCCTGGTCAAGATGTGTGGTCCAAATGTTTCTGCAATGTAGGAGTTGCAAATTACAGGACAAATTTTTTCTGAAACCAAATTGCTTGTTAGAGAGCAGGTTATTTGTCTCTAGGTGGAGGGTGATGGATTGATTCATAATTGATTCTATGACTTTACAGGTGATGCAGCACAGGGAGATTAGTCTGTAATTTTCTACTAGACTAGGGTCTCCTTTTTTAAAGATAGGTATAACCTTGGCTAATGACCATAGGTCGGGCAAGGAACTGGTTCTGAAGGATACTTTGTCCATAGAGGTTCAGCTATGGCAGTGGCAAGTTTTCTGATTAACATTATTTAACTGTATACAATTTCAGGGGATGCAAGGCTTAAGCTTTTATTATTCACAAGAAAACATCAGGATGAAAAAAATATCTGTTTTTTATTTTTTATTTTTTATTAGTAGAAGATTAATAAGGTATGTGATTTGATTTTGGGTATCTTAAAAACATTTTCACTGTTCTGATAATCTTTGACCTTCCATTCAAGATGTTCCTCGTTGCTTTGATTTCTTCCTGGAAAAAAATGATGAGAAAGGAGAGCCAAATGCAAGAATGCTCAATATCATATTTTATAAATATATATATTTGGGACATGTGGACATACAGAAAATATGTATGGTATTAGTTTGATTTCTAGAGAATGGTTTCTGTAGAACATAACATAATAGGATTGGAAGGTGTCTTGGAGGTCTTTTAATCCAACTCATGGCAGGAGATCCTATACCAGGTGTGTCAAACTCATGACAACACATAGTCATGTGATGTATCACAATTCCCCCCCCCCCCACTACACCAGGGGTGAGCATGGCCAGTGCGCGATGCATCTGGCCCATGGGCTGCAAATTTGACACCCCTGTCCTATACCATTCTGGACAAATGGCTGCCTTGAAAACTTCCAATGATGGAGCTCTACAACTTTCAGAGGCAAGCCATTTCACTGATTAATTGTCCTCATTGACAAGAAATTTCTCCTTAGCAATTGATTGGAGAATTGGTTTCTTCCATAATTTGATACTCTACAAAACATATATTGAATTGTTATTCCTTCATACCAATTAATTAGACTCATGTAAGGAGACAGAGTAGAGTCCTTTCCGATACACTCTGAAACCTACATTCAGCAGTGGGGTAGTTTAGAAGTGGAAAAAGGCTAGTAGGTTTTTAATACTTCAGAATAGGACAAGATAAAATGTGGTGTTGGATTCCTCAAGTTTAAAACCTAACTTCTGAAGAAGAATAGCAATTTCATGATTATAGTAAAGCAGTGCTTCCCAAACCTGGATAAATGATCCAAAATTGAGTAAAAATATTTTTTATGACACACAAACCTATTATCCAATCACAGGGATATTTAAATAAGGACTTTCTAATAAACAGTTAAAATGACTTTTTATATGCCATTTTGATAATGAAGAAAAATGCTTGGAAAGCACTACATTAAAGAGATCTGCAAATTTAGGAAACCTCTTGTTAAATTTGTTTCCAACATCTTATTAAAATCTCAGGTAGATAGATGGAAACATGATATTGTCTTACCTTTTTCAACATTCCTTTGTTGGCAAAATAGGAGTAACCAGGTTTTGGAACTTCTCCAATGGACAAGCCTTTGAGCATCCTGGCAAAGTGAGCATATGGGGTTCAACAGCAGTGTTGTTCCGATAATACATCTCAATGGTATAACTTCTGAATATGTATCATCCCAAACAGGAAAAAAGGCAAAACAATATATGGTTTACAGCACAAATTCCTATTTTTACTTTCACACAATGAAAATAAATTGATCTAAACAAGGATGTGAGGGCCAAACAGCCAATATAGGACATATAAAATGAGAACCACAAGTTTCCATCTTCCAAATGGATATGTTCTTGTAAATTGAATTCAGTGCACTGTGAGAATGTGAATATATTTACAGTATGCAAAATCTTAGTAAATCAAGGTTATTTATCTGTGAATTAATACTTGCCCATTGTCTTCTTCATATAGCTCAAAAATATGGGTAGCAGCATAAGGAATTAATAACTGGTTGGAAACACCAAGTGCTGTTTGCAGGGCAATGATTGTCATATCATGCTAAAATAGAAAAAAAATGTCAAAATGGTAAAGCATTACATTGTGTATGTATAGTGTATTTAATATCTCAAACTTATTAACTCTAAAGAGGCAAATGTAGAGAAGTTCCCTATTTCAATAAACCATGACTTCAGTGGGTACCCCATTATTCTTTAGTCTCATTTCTGTGACACCATAGTTTCAGGTTCATACAGAACAAATATTTTGCAGCTCAGATAGATAGATAGATAGATAGATAGATAGATAGATAGATAGATATAGATATAGATATAGATATAGATATAGATATAGATATAGATATAGATATAGATATAGATATAGATATAGATATAGTACAGTGATGGTTAATCTTTTTTTTTTTGGAATTTTTTTTATTTTTTTAAACAAACAAAACATAAAACATCCACCATCCATTACAATTGCAAACAGTGTGTCAATCGGTTACAAATACCCTGTATCATGTTGTTTTACAAATGATCTAATTTCTCATATTATCAACCTGATATATATCTTTATATCATTATCCTCATTTGTATTTATCTAACAATGGCATTATCATTCCAAAAGAAATTGTTTTCACATACTATATTATAACATTCATTTTATATTTCATATTTCACTTCCATGTTTTAGTATCTAGCTATTGGTAAAATAAATCCCATAATTTATAATATTGTTTATCTTCTTGTTCTCTAATTTCAAATGTCAATTTACTCATTTCAGCACATTCCATGATTTTCTTAATAACTTCATCTTGCATTGGTATTTTCTCATTTTTCCAGTTTTTAGCAAACACAATTCTAGCTGTTGTCAATACATTCACAATCAAATATCTCAATTCTCTATTGTATGTTTCTGGCACAATTCCTAATAAAAAAAATCTCTGGTTTAAAGTCTATGTGTTTTTTTGTCATTTTTTCCAACCATGTGTGGATTTTAGTCCAGTATCTTTTAGCTTCTATACATGTCCACCACATATGATAATATGAGCCCGGTGTCTGATGACATTTCCAAATTTTTCCGATTTGTTCTTGAACATTCTGGCTATTCTCGTCAGGGATAGATGCCGCCTGTAAAACATCTTATACAAATTTTCCTTATATGCTGTTGACATTGTAATTTTATAATTTTGCAACCACAGTTTTTGCCATTTCTCTAAGTCAATTCCATAACCAAAATTTTTCCCCCATGCTATCATTGTTTCTTTAACTTGTTCTTCTTCCAATTTTACCTCTAATAAATAACCATATAATTTTTTAAATTACATAGTCATCAGAACCTGTTAAAATTTTATCTAAATTAGTCAAAGTATTGTAAAAACCTTCTGCCTTGCAATCTTCATCATATCTAGAACGTATTTGCAAATAAGAAAACCAATTCATCTTTAAACCTTGTTCTTCCAGTTCTTGCTTCAATTTAAGTTCACCCTTTTCATCCAATAGTTCACTATATCTAACAATTTGTTCCTTTCTAAATGTTATTGAATATGAAAACGCTTCAGTCATGGATACCCAGACTGGAATTTTCAAATAATGTTGTGTTTTTACCTTCTCCCAGTTTAATAACAAAGCATCTCGTACGAAATGTCTTCTAAAATACCCCTTTGTTTTTGTTCCCTTGTATCATAAAAAAGCATGCCACCCCAACTTCCAGTGGCTCCACCGATGCCGAAAGACACTCCTTTGTGAGAGCCAGCCCCAGGATTCTGTTAGAGCTGCTAGAACAGCGAAAATCAGCTGTCTAGCGGCTTGAAAAGGGGGGAAAGAGAGCCGATGGGTATGGGTAGAGCTCCCCAAGAGCCCCAGGTTTCTTTTTAAATCTGGGGCTTAAAGGGTGAGAGCTCCCTGGAAAGCCCGTCATTGCTCCGGCTCGGGATGTTTCTGCTTCAAGCAGAACTAGACGCCGCGACCACCCCAGCAACTCAATTTTAAAATATTTATTTGTTTTATTTATTTATTAATTTTATTTCTATACCGCCCTTCTCCCGAAGGACTCAGGGCGGTGTACAGCCTAATTAAAAACACAAAGATAGACAAAATTTAAAAATAATTAAAATTATTAAATAACAGGCCCAATTTGTAAAACCCCAAATTTAAAACCCCATTTAAAACCAATTAAAAATCTTTACATTGATAGCCCAGCCTGGCGGAACAACATGGTTTTGAGGGCACAGCGAAACACACGGAGATCAGAGATTTTACGAATTTCTGGGGGCAGATCATTCCAAAGGGCAGGAGCTCCCACAGAGAAGGCCCTCCCCCTGGGTGTCACCAGTTGACATAATTTGGCCGATGGCACCCTGAGGAGACCCTCTCTGTGGGAGCGAACTGGCCGGTGGGATGCTACTGGTGGCAGAAGACGGTCTCGAAGGTATCCAGGTCCAATGCCATGGAGCGCTTTAAAGGTGATAACCAACACCTTGAATTGCACCCGGAAGACCACTGGGAGCCAGTGCAGCTCGCGCAGGAGGGGTGTCACGTGGGCACAACGGGTTGCACCCATAACCACTCGCGCGGCCGCATTCTGGACCAGTTGGAGCTGAAATAGATTTTGGACTTGAAAGCTGGCAGAGCAAATACAGGAAAAACTAAAATTGCAAGTACTAAACTTTAACTCCGAAAAGTATATCACTTCCCTCTGAATTTGTATGGGAGAAAAGGAAAGTAAGATGGCATTTGATTCTAATGGGGCGTGAAGACGTGAAAGTTAGATACAAAGTATTATGTTGTGTTGAAAGCCCCTGTTTAAAAGAAGAGGATTTTATCTTAAAAGGAGGAGGATTTAAAAATTATTTCTAAAAAAAGACTTGTACCACTTAAGGATTGGAATAATTGATTTAGTTGCTGGAAAAGTATAAAGTGAAAGTTTTATTGGGAAGAAAAAAAAATGGCTGGCTTTTTTGAAAGTGATGAAGGCTTACCATTATATACATCAGTAAATACACAAATACTGACTGTGGATCTTTTTAAAGACATTTTAGAATCATTTACCTCCACGTTAGTGGAAAGAATGGAAGGGTTTTTCAAGAAGGATTTTACTCAAATTCGCAACAAAGATACAAGTGAAGATACTGTATCGGTATTTCAGATGCCAAATAATAGTGAGCTGCTGAATGAAGAGGTGGGAGAAACAATCCAGTTTAATGTGCCTTTGGAAAATGGAATGGATGTTTTTCAAATTAAGAAGGAAAGGCTGAGAGGTTTGAAGGAGCATAACCAGAAAATACTGAGAGAGATTTCTCCAGAGGCTTTGATACAGTCAACTGGAAAATTATCAGGAGGTGTTGGGATTTCTAATATAAGGAGGATTCGAAGTGGAACTTTACAACTTTTTTACAAAAATGGACTCTCAATCGCAGTCAAAGAGGTGTGTTTACTGAAAGGAACTACTTTGCGAAGAGAACAAGATTGTAAGGTACAGCAACTTCAGTTGAAAATTCAAGAATTTATAAAAATAAAAGAAGGCGGAGGAATAAGACTGAAGAAGAAGGTTTGCAAAAAAGTCAGGAAAAAATGGAGATGGAAAAATTATAACCCTCCTTGTTGGGGAGGATAGTAATAGTGAAAATGAATGACTATACCTGTATTTAGGGATATAATTTGTTTTGAAAAGTTATATTATAGTGAAAATGAATGATTTACTTATATTTACGGACATGATTTGTTCTGAAAAGTTATATTAAGTAATGTTATGTTTGAATTGTTATGGGCCACTGACCAAACTTTCACTTTTGTCTTGAAGTATATTTCAAGGAATGCTTTGCTGAAGAATTTATATAAACTGATGGATTAAAAGAAAAATATTGTGGATGTAAAAGTTATGGACAGTGTAGATCATTTAATATAAGTTTATGGGTTAGAAGAAGGATATTACTTAAATCTTTATACTTTGTTTTAAATTATATTAATGCTGTATTAAAAAATGTTTTGTTGAAGAACAAATACAAACTTGTGGGTTATAGGGAAAATATAAGTGGTGCAGGGTTGAGGGAAGGTTTTTACAATATTTTTTATAGATATTAAATGTGACGGTTAATTGTAACTGGGCTCTGATTGTGTAATACTGGAAGAAAGAAGACTTGCTTATTATTGAAGAATGGACAAGAACGAAGTTGGATTGATTACTTTCAAGCAATAATTGGTTTAAATAGTTATATTTAGATATGAACAAGGGGAGTTAATGCAAGAGGGAGATAAATCTATAGATAGTGTACTTTTTTTTTTTTTTATGTTTGTTAAATGCTATACCCTGTATTTGCTCTGGGAAGTTCCGGGGGGGGGGGGGGGGGGGGGGTGGAAGGGAGAGAAGGGAGGGGAAAATATGTGTAAATTTTTTAAAAACTTTTCAATAAAAAAAAAAGCGTGCCACCCCAACAACAAGTCATGTCCTTCTAAAGTCAATAATCTAGTATTTCTTAACATTATCCATTCTTTAATCCCCATCAAACTTGTCGCTTGATAGTAAAGTTCCCAATTAGGTAAACCAAAAACCCCTCTCATTCTGGCATCTTGTAACAATCTTAATTTTATCCTCGCCTTTTTTCCCTGCCAAATATATATTAACACTATCTTATTCAGTTCTTCAAAATAATCTTTTCCCAATCTAATTGGAATTGTCTGAAACAAATATAACATTCTAGGCACTATATTCATCTTAATAGTTGATATTCTCCCTATCAATGATAATTGTAAATTTTCCCATTTCGCCAAGTCTGTTCCAATCTATCGTTTGAGTTTATTATAGTTATTCTCTTTAAGTGTGCTACATCTTGCTGTCAAATATATTCCCAAATACTTAATCTTATTTGTGAACTGCATCTTTGATATTCCCGCCAATTCTTCTTTTTGTTTTATTAACATATTTTTTATCAAAATCTTCATTTTGTCTTTATTAATTTTCAAACCTGCTACTTTCCCAAATTCTCCTATTATATCTATCAGTGTAGTTATTGATGTTAATGGATCTTCAAGAATAAAAACCAGGTCATCTGCAAACGTTTG